TTTATAATAGGTTGTTAAAAAGATTATAAATTAAGAAATATTAAAATTAAATTTAGTCAAAACTTTTGAAGTTGGCAACCCAATCAAAATTATTCAATTTAATTTTTTTTTTTAAAAATAAAATTTCGGGTACTATTGAAACTATCAAAATTATGGATAATAAATATATAAATGACAATAATTATATATTTTTGTATATAAGCCATTAAATAATATTTTAAAATTTTTGTTTTGACGTCACAGATTCCTATCTCACATTCACAAGTTGTTATCAAGTGAAAATAGGAAGACAACTAAGAGCATAAAATACAAAACATATATGTATATGTATATATATAGATATATGATTAACAAGTAAATATTCACTAATTAACTATATCGCATCACAAATTCAAGAACCACCATTCTCATTTACCATATATTTTGTAATTGAGAACTGATTATCTTAATAAATTTAATGAGAAAAATCGATTTTTTATTTTTATTTAAATTGCATAATAAATTGACATAAGTTAAGAAAAAAATAGAAAGAGATAAATATGTTTAAATATTATTTATTATTTAATATAAATAATTTATTATAAAGACAAAATTAATATGTATTTAGTATTTAATAAATAAATAAAAAGAAGAGAGTGATAGACAAAGACCCAACAGCACATCGCTGTCTGAACCTCTGCATGCTTCATTTCTTTCCTCTCTCTCTACAGTGCTCTGCTACTCCTCCCTGTCCATATCGGGGCTCCGAGCCCCGGACCCGTTTCACTCCTCCTCCATCCGGATCTATCTTCCTTCCAATTCTCTCTCACGCTTTTACCTTCTTCACTAAAACCACACAGAATGTACTCTGCGATTCACTCCTTGCCGCTAGATGGCGGCGTTGTTGGTGGTCACCCGGACTATCAGGGCTCGCTTGACGGGACCAACCTGCCCGGTGATGCTTGTCTCGTTTTGACAACAGATCCCAAGCCCCGCCTCCGCTGGACTGCCGAGCTCCATGAACGCTTCGTTGATGCTGTCACCCAGCTCGGCGGCCCTGACAGTATGTGTCTATACTTATACATGTTATCTACCTATCTACTTTTTCTTTTTTCTTGTTTTGCTGGCTTCAAAAAATGTGGGTTGTCTTTGGGGTGAAATTTTCCTGTGGTTGGCTTTAAATGGGATCTTCTCATCTTTTGCTGTGTTTTTTTTTTTTTTTCTCTGGGTAAGTTAAATACGGCTTTTTCTGGGTTTGGATTGAATCGAGTTTTTGTTCTTGAGTTAACGAGCTGTTCTCTCGCTCTGGACTCTTGAAATGTTTTTACGTTTTTCAAATCTGTTGGCTCGTAAAGCGTGAATGCAGTAGTGTTCTAATTATTCTGTGTGCTCTGCTGGATTTTTTCCTTTTTTGTGATTGTCCAGTTTTTGCTGTGGGTGTGGCTATGGAGTCAATTTTTTTCTCATTAAAGATTAATTACATCTAAAAAGTTTTCATTTTTTTTCTTTCTTCATAGTCGATTCCATGTTGCGTGAGTAAATGGTTTAAGTGTGGTTAATTATTGAAGTTCTTTTTTTTTTTTTTAAAAAAAAAAAACAATATAATGAGAGCTGTGTCCTTTCCTTCTTTGTGAAAAAGATCTTCTTTCATAGTCTTCCAGTTTAATGTTTATCAAGTTGACCAATCATGATTCTTTGGCATGGATCATGTTCATAGTTCACTTTAATTCTCCAAGTCAAAGATGGCTATCCAATTTCTCCCTCTATCTCTTCTGTTCATGAAAATTACCAATTTACTTGGTTTTTATTCTCCTTTATTTTATTATAGCAGTATCTCTATGAAGTGTGCTGTTTATTTTTAAACATTTTTCGTAGCTTGATTAGCTTGTTTATTGACTTTGATATTAAGTCTTCTCAATCTTCCAGTTAATAATGTTGAGTAAACTTTTCGAAATCTGTACTCGTGCCTTACTCACTAGGTACTAAAGAGAAATAGAACAAGGACAAAATTACATTTTGGAACCATCAAGTTCAATAATGTTGGTGTGGATGACTTAGCTGTAAGACAAATTGGATCAACTGCTGTACTTTGTCTTGATCTATGAAAGAATCTTCTAATATTTGCATTAACTATTGTGCAAATATGTGGTTCACGCAATCTTTTTTGTACACAGAAAAAAACGAACAGTTAAAGAATTCTGGTCTACTGTTTACAGCTTTTTATCTTTTATTTAGATTTGAAATGATACATGCTGCCCGGATGTTTTTCTTTTGTTGGGTCAAACTCAAGCTGCAACTGCTCAAACGGGCTTTGAACCCTCATGATGCTTTTAGATTTTTCTGTTATTAAACCATATGAATTGTGAGTGAACTGTTAAATTTTTGTCAAGACATCAAGATCAGAAGCTGCACATGGTTTTGGTTGCATAGCTTCAGCTCAACATATACTTCCTCTCTGCTCAAACCAAAAGTATTGCCACTTTTATTATAAGTCATGCTATAGTAAAAGGCAGCGGTTAAACAGTGAAAAGCTGCGAAAGTTCAGTCCATAAGAAGTTACCTTGGGTTTAATTGTCTTGGTGAAGAGTGAACTCTTGGATGCTGGTTTTTGAACTGTTTACTTGAAGTTTACCATTCACTAATACTGAATCCTGCAGGTTATTTTTGTCAGGTGTCAGTTTGATTCACATAGCACCACACCATATTGGGGCATTAATTGTCTGCACCTTTCCTTGTCCTTTTGTTCTTTTTTCCTGCCAGCATTACTGAACTAACAAGACAATACCATGCCAAAATAGAACTAACAAGACAATTTGGTTGTGGCAAATTCTAGCATTAGACTAACCTTAAAGATCACCAGTGAAAATAGTGGAGATAGAGGATATAATATGATCACTATTCAGTGGCTCGGTTTCCCGCACTCTTGATATAATAGAGTGGTCAAAGCAGTTCTGTTTGAAGTAGATTTTGTATTTACTTCCTATCATATCAATTCCTTTGGAGAAAATGGGTTTTACCATCTTTTCATGTGTGGATGTTTCAATTTTCTGTCTATTGATAATCTCTTCTTTGCCTTTTGAAGAAATATGCTCCACTACCATCCTCCTGTTGCTGCCAGCTGTGGCTGTGACTTTGTTGTTGTTGCCACCATTGCCCTCAATTCTTCTTACTTACCTTGCTGTGAAAGTTATCAACTGGTACCTGATGTTTAGCCCCCACTCTGGTGCCATTTTCTCACACTCCAGTGAAAGAAATGCAGAGTCTTTATTGATGGCTAAGCACTTTTTGCTTTCAAACTGAACTTTCTGCAGGGAAATCCTTCTATAAAAAGAGTTGGATGGATAAGATGAGGAGATTCTTCAAAGTACTTTATGTTGGTAAAAATACAGACTCTAGATCTTAATGAGAATCTCAACCCTTTACATACCAACTGAACTCATCCGATTGCACGCTGAAGCATTCTTTCCATTGTTCACATGTTTTAAAGTTGAATTCTTCAGGAAAATGTCATATAGAACTAAGGAGAGGAAGGGATATGAGAAGTGAGTTTGAGTCTTGCTTTACGTTCTGGGACACACTTGTCTTCTACAATCTTGCTGATGTCCTGTGCACAAAGCTGCAAAAAAACATGTGCAATGGGTCAAAGCAACCAAAGATATCTTCAGTGAATATATTTTGACTCCCTTTACGTTCTCAAGTCAATAAATCTTTGACTGGACTGCTACGAATTTGCATAAAAAGATCTTTTAGGTAAAATTACATTCTGGGTTCTACTCCCTCATTACGGGGATTATCCCTTTAACAAAAACACCGAAAGGTAAGACACATTCCTTAATTGAATTTTTGAAGGATAATGGCGGTAGATTTTATACCTTAGGGGTTACATGTTATCTAAATAAATGTTCAATCATTGAGATTTCCTTTAGGAATCCAGTTATGCATTTTTTTCTCGGTTTCTTCTTGTGAGTTGAACTGAAGCATGGGGGAAGACTCTAGCTGAGTTGATAAGCTAAATGAATGTTGATGTTACCGACAAAGATTCTTTCTGTTGGAAATTTTTTTAAAAAAAAGAGGAAAAAACAATTATGCTTGGATGGTAAAGATATAATATGTGTTATTTCTTTGTTGGTAACTGCTCATTTCTGAACCTTACTGCTGAGAAAAGATTTGACTCTGTGTAACTATGCTGAGTTAGAAGTTATATGCTACTAGGGACATTGAATTGAAAATTAGAGGAATATTATTCATAAGGTACCGAGTGGATAACACAGTACAGAATTATATGCTGCTAGTGACAATTATATCAAAATGCAGCTCACCATCACTTGTTTAGGCTTCTGTAGAGTTTGTTGCCCAGTCCAGATCCTTAACATTTAAGTGTCAAAAAGCACATCTATATCACAAGGTTATGTTGTATACCTTAACTTTTCTTATTATAGATCTAAATGCCTGATGGCTTCTAGATTATTTTTAATTCTCTTGATATGCATTGCAGAAGCAACGCCTAAGACCATCATGAGAACAATGGGAGTAAAAGGCCTGACCCTCTATCATCTGAAGTCACATCTTCAGGTTTGCTGCTGTTGCAATCTCTTTTAAAAAACCATATTTTCCAATGCTTATGTTCTTTAAATGGGCAGACAGGAACTAGTAGATCTTCTGTACATCCTTGAGACAATAAGATTCTAATTCTTTTTAGCACTACTAGAGTGCATGAAGTATAAGCAACAAGTTGGAGATACAAGAGGAGTTTAAAGAATTTGAATGCAAGAATCTGCACTTACCTCTTTTATACTGTAAATGTGGAAGGCAAAGGAGGGGAATATAGAAGATTTATCAAATGGAAGTTTCCTGAAGTGCCTCTCTTATATTGAAATTGTGTGACAGCAACGTCCATGCTAGACAAATGAAGAGGGTCTAGACATTTTGAGCCCAAGATTCTGAACTCATGTCTATTATGTTTTCTTCATGCAACCTCCTTTCCTTTTTTTAAAGGGAAAGGATAAATAAATAGTACTAATAGGGCACAAAAGGCTTGCCACCAATATACAAAATAAGCTTTATAGATTGTGATAAGAAGCCAAAATATCTATAAGGTTCCCTTGGTCCCATCCATAGGTGAGAGGTTGACTATAAGCAAAAGGAGACATAATGCCTTCAAAAACCATCTTGTTTTTTTTTTCCTTTTTGCTTTTAGATAACCCAACTAATGGTCAACAGAATAAGAGAAACATGTTTTTTCTTCCTAGTCTTATTCAGCCTAATACCATCCCAAGGCCATAAATCATCCTCAATCAAGTCACTGGCCACCCAAGAAAGATTCAGGAAGGAAAAAGATGAATCTCATAGCCTTCTAGCCTCCGCACACCGAAGAAGGAGATTTGATTAGGGGATTCGCTCTCTTGCAAACCCAACAAGTACCCATTAACGATGATCTTTCCTCGTTGCTTCCTCAAATCATTGTTGTTAGACTTTTATCCCAAACGGCTTCCCAAGCAAGAAAAGCCACACAAGGGGAGGTTTTTTTCTCTTTCAAATCAGCTCCCACAGGAACCTTGAGAGACATTATTTTGAGACAGGTTAAGACAAAGAGATCTCAAAGAGAATAAAACATTTTTTGAGCGTAACTATATACGACGATCACAAACCGCAAGGTCAAAAAGGCAAGAATCAAGAAGAGTAAAGAGAGAGACCATATCAACAATCTCCCAATTGTTCAGGTTCCATATAGATTGATATCCCACAAAAGAGGAGAGATGCAATTGTTGACCATAGTATCCTTAATCAAAGCATCCTTATCCCTAGCAATAGCAAAAAGTGCTAGGAAATCTTTGGGACGACTACCACTACAACTCTGGTCTGTCCACAAAGCTCAAGGATCAATCATCGCCTAAAAATCTATTAGTCAAAGGAAGAGCTTCAATCTTAACTAATCACCACTTCCAAAAGCTAGTTCTGTAACTGTGAGCAATCCTGGCTGTTTTGCAGCCCCTACCATCCAGCCCATATTTTGCAGCAATCACCTCTTCCCAGAAGCCATTGCTACATGATATAAACTTCCAAAGCCACTTAGCTAATAATGCCTTATTTATGGTGGTCAAGGATCTTTTGCCTAGGCCTCCAAAGCAAAAGGCCGTTTCATAATATCCCAAGCCACAAAATGGTTACATCTCACCTCCTCAAGAGTCTCTCCCAGAGGAACTGGAGCTGTGGAGACTCCAACTTTTTGTCCACCCTAAATCTCCTTTCCTATTTTATTGTTGGAGTTTATTCTGCTAATATTGTAGATTAGATATTATGTTTGTTACTATAATAACGTTCCCTTTGTTTCTTCTTTTGATGCCTGTTACTTGCAGAAATACCGGCTGGGGAAGCAGTCATGCAAGGAATCAACTGACAACTCTAAGGATGGTATCTTCATAATCTCTGTTTTCCTATGTGTTCTTTATCACTGCATTTTGTTTATTATTCAAATCCAAATAAAACCATGATACTGTAAATATCTGAAGTTGTTCAAAGTATGTGGAAGCCATTCATTTGTCTGAACTAGGAGCTCAGCCACCATGAAAAGAAGAGTTCTGTGGCTGTTTTTTTTAACCTTTAAATAAAATTTGAATGTGCAATATTTTCATAGTCGGTAATAATATCTAGCTGGCATTACAGCCTCATGTGTTGGAGAAAGTCAGGATACAGGTTCATCGTCAACATCATCATCAAGGATGGTGGCACAAGATCTGAATGAGTATGTTTATCTTCTTCTTTCCAATTGCAAAAACTTGTCAGTCTCTGTAATCAAGTAATTGTCATTTATCTTCCTTCAAGCAGTGGTTACCAGGTTACTGAGGCTTTACGAGTCCAGATGGAAGTGCAGCGAAGACTGCATGAACAATTGGAGGTTAGTGTTTTCCTTTGTTGTGTATTTGATATATCACTAAATAATCTCTTATGTGCACTGGGTTTGAACTGTGCATTAACCATCTTTTCAAGTATGCTTGGACCTTAATAAACCCAGCAGGGTAAAGACCAGTATATAAGCTGCTTTTGGGAAAATTGACCTTTTAATGTTTTCGAAGTCCGAGTTTCCTTTTCTTCAAAATTTGGAGAAAAAATC